AAAAATATAACCCAATAAAAATGTCAAAGGATCTGAATAAACGTCCCTCTAATGTCTAATTAGAGACATCACTTTAATTGTCTAACAAGTGACTATTAGTATATAAAATATGCTTATAACATTTTTTAGCCATCAGATAAATGCAAATCAAAACCACAATGATAGAACTTCTCATGCCCTCAAAAAAAAAAAAAAAGTCACTGCCATTGAGTCGAGTCTGACTCACAGTGACCCTCTTTGGGTTTCTAAGGCTGTAAATATTTAAGGAAGCAGACTGCCTCATCTTTTTTCAGCAGAGTGGCTGGTGAGTTCAAACCACTTATCTTTAAGGTCAACTGTCTTAACCACTACGCTACCAGAGCTCCTCAGAAGGTGTCTAGTCTGCAATTAATTACTAATATTTAACTACCAATCTACACAACATTTCCAATGAAAAATCTCCCCTACTATTAGAAGTTTTCAATATTCACACTACAACAATATGTTTAAGGCATGGAACATCACTTGTCTTCTAAGAGGAGAGTATGGAAAGGTAGATGAGGATGGAGGTCCTAGGAAAATAACTATATTTAGAAGAAAGTAGGAAGATAGGAAGACCAAAATGTAAATAAAAAGGGAAGAACATTGCAAGCAGCAAGAACAGTAGCAGGGCTGCCTTCCTAGATTATTGGAGCTGGGCTTCTGAGGACAAGGCAAGAAGAGTAAGCTGAAGTTGTGTCAGCATGGAGAAAAGAAAAGTCACAAAATAAAAAAGAAATTGGTGTAAAAATAATGGAGAATGGTCTTAACAGTGCTGGGATGCATCCACCACTGCTATTATGTGAACCTGGGGGTTGGGAAAATTTTCTAGCCCAGTCCAGCTGGAGGTCCTTTGTTACCTTTCATAGGTGAGGTGATCACTTACCAATGGAACATACCAGAGAGATCTGGCCCTGGACCCAATGACTCTGCATGTGTCTCCTGGATCTATTATTCTGCAGTGGATCCCATCAAGGTAAAGACAAAATGGGCTGCCTGGAGGTGAGTGTCAGAGACAGGGAAGCAGTCTGATAAGAAGAAACTATTAAACAAATATAATAAGATATCCAGACTAAAGTGTATTTGAATAGTCAAGAAGAGGATTGAAGAGCGAAGGTAGCTGCAGATATTTCTTACCTGAAGATTTTCTTCCTTACTTCTTCTTGGATATCCTAGTGCAATATACTCTCAACTACAAAGCCTCATATTGGATGTCAGGAGATTGGGGTTCTAACTTTAATTTCTGCTTTCAGACAAGTCACTCTGCCTCTTTTGCCTCTTCTAGCTATGCATTCACAGCCAGCCAATCAGCAATCATTTATTAAGTGGTTACTACATTTTAGACATTTTCTTTGGTGCTTTGGTGAATACAAATGTATGAGTATGGTCTATTTGGGGAAAACAGGTGAATATACCAAAATATTAACAGCTCTATAAAAAATCTAGTAAAAGTGCTATTAGGGTCAATAGGAGAGTGGTTACTTAGAGGAGGGGATTGAGGCAGGGAAGATCAAAGAGGCATCTGAATGCAAGGTACATGTCCTCGGGGTCTTGAAAGCAGAATAGCAATGTGACAGGCAAATAAGGGATATGGTGGAGTGGAAGGCATTATAGGCAGAGGAAATAGAAAGAGAAAAGACACCAGATTGTGAGAGCACTTGATGTGTTTGGAAATCAATTAATAGTCTAATCTAACTAAAGTATAAATTAGATAATCTATCTTACCTCTGTCCTAAATAGTTGTGAGAATGAATTAAGATTACATAGTAGAGGTGCTGGGAGTCTTTAAGTGGTGCAAAATGTTAATGCACTAGTCTGCTAACTGAAAAGTTGGAAGTTTGAGTCCAGCCAAGATGCTCCTTATAAGAGAAGTCCGATTACAAAAATCAGCCGCTAAAAACCGTATGAATTAGCCAAAACCAAACAATTTAAGGGAATAAGTTGCTGGGCATGGTGGCTCAAGACCATAGTCCCACTTGGGGGACACTAAAGTCAACTGTCATAATATAGTCCACAAAGACAATATTCTACCTTCTACTTTGGTGAATAGCCACTGAGGTCTCAAAACATGTAAATGGCCATCTAAGACACAACTATTAATCTCTCCCCTTATGGAGCAAGGAAGAGTGAAGGAAATCAAAGACACAAGAAAACAGTTAGTTTAAAAGACTAATGGACAATGTGAACCTTAGCCCCCCATGACCCTGAGACCAGAAAAACTAGATGGTGCCTGACTACCACTGCTGACCACTCTGAAATGGATTACAATAGGAAGTCCCAAATAGAATATGAAAAAAATTTGGAAAAAAACTCAAAATCATGAGAAAACAGGCTTGCTTGTCTCTTACAGACTAGTGAAACCCACAAGACTATAGCCCTTACACATCCTTCAAGCCATGGTTCAACTTTCAAACAAATGCCAGACAGGCCTATAAGGTGAACAATAATACCAAGGAGGTAAACGCTATTAGAATAATCAACAACAGGAGATCACAGGGGCAGACTTTGCCCAGAGATAAAGCTAAGAAGGCAGAAAGGAAAGAACGACGAAGGGAAATGGTAAACACCAGGAAGAAGTGGGAAAAGTGTTTTTACATTGTGCAGATTGCAATCAATGTCATAAAACAAAATGTGTATGAATCTTTGAATGGAAAACCAGTTTGAGGTGTAAATTTTCACCCAAATCAAAATAATAATAATAATAATAATAAAAAGAAAACACTATGGAACAGTTCTACTCTGACACAAATGGGATTGTCATGAGTTGCAATCTGATTTTTGGAATATATTTAAAAAAAAAGAAAAAACAAAAAACACCTCACTGCTGTTGAGCTGGATCCAACTCTTAGAAACCCATTCTTGGGTTTTCAAGGCAGTGTCACTATGGAAGTAGATTGCCCAAACTTCCTTCTGAGGAGTGACTGGTGGGTTTGAACTACCAGCCTTCTGGTTAGCAGTCACATGCCTTTGGAATATAGGTGCTTATAAATGTAAGACATTACAATGAAGTACTGATGGGGGTTCAGTAGACTTCAACAGGAGATTGGCTTTCTGAAGAGCACTACAAACCAGGGGACAACAAGCACATTTCTTCTGCTCTCCTTTCCTCTTTCCTTCAGGACATGTATAGTGGCCTGGTGGGACCCTTGGCCATCTGCCGAAGGGGCATCCTGGGGCCCAATGGAAGACGGAGTGATGTGGACCGAGAGTTTGCCTTGTTGTTCTTGATCTTTGATGAGAACCAGTCATGGTATCTGGAGGAGAATGTGGCAACTCATGGGCCTCAAGAGCCAGGTCATGTCAACCTACAGGATGAGACTTTCTTGGAGAGCAATAAAATGCATGGTTTGTAGACAAGAATTTATCCCTATTCCAAAGAAGTCCCCACTGGTTGGTTGGAGGGATTGTCCGATAGATCCACCACTATCTATGGAAGCACAAATTCCAGAGAGAATGGGAAAGTTGAAAGGTGGAATGGAATGAGGGTGATCTAGTACTCCAATATATTCATCTTCTTAGATTCTAGCATGAACTCTGTCCCAAAGTGTCTCCAGAATTCATGGGCTATTCAGCAGTAAGCTAGCTCTCTCCTGAAACATACATGTCTATATTTAGCTGCTGCAGGCAGCCCAGTTACTAGATTCTCATTTCTGTGAACATATCCATGCATCAGAACCTCTATGAAGTCTCAATTTTTTGAAGAAATGTTTCCTACTATTGCACATTTATATACATATATAAAATATGTGGTTCACATTAGATCAGATGCTGATAAAGCAGGAAGCTGATTCTGGAAATGTGCTGTGGTGGTGCCAGCAAAGTTTAATATAATAGAGAAGATAGGCATTTTTGAGCCTCAATGTACCTAGTGAGGTGGCTATTTACGTCCTCTCCGTTTCAAATGCCTTTCGAGTATAGGTACTTATAAATGTAAGACATTGCAATGAAGTGCTCACGGGGGCTAAGTAGGCTTTGATATGAGATTGGCTTTCTGAAGAGTACTAAAAACCAGGGGACAACAAGCACATTTCTTCTGCTCTCCTTTCCTCTTTCCTTCAGGACATGTATAGAGTTTAGTTTCTCATTAAGATCTTATTTCTTCACAATTCTGGATGCAGGATTTGCTTTATCAATGAACCCCAACATTCTTTTAATCTGTTTTTAAAACAAAAGTTCCATTTACTGGTAAAATAATTAGAAGAGAGAGCCACAGGCTAGAGTATGTGTTTATAGTAGATACAAGGAAGAACTTTTTTTATGCCTGAATGGATTTTGGAGGTAAAATTTGCATCCAAGGCTTCCCTTGTTCTAAATGTCTGTGTAGCATTTCTAAAACAAGAGAAAGTCTCAAATATGATGGACAGCTTAAGTGCAGTTGAACATATGAAATGACCTCTCATCATCCCTTCTAGCCCAATATTATTTTAATCTGAGGATAAAGTGTTGCTTTCATAGTTATTCTAATAGAACTCAAAAGTAGTGTTTCACTGTCCCATTAGAAAATAGATTTCAGCTATTTGCCATGATGGGAAGATGGATGATTAACATTAAAACAGATGTTTCATAAACTTCACAGGGTGAACTTTTAATTCCTATAAAATTGGAAATATAAATGGCTTAGGACAGATAGGGAATTTGAACACAATTAGGTACTGCCAATGCTTACTTCCATCTGTTTGTTCATGTACCCATTCACCCCAAATCTTCAGGTATCAGGCCATCTACCTATCCAGCCAACAGGTATCAGTCCTTTCTGAGTGCTAGAAATGGAGATAAAATTGAAATATTGTTGGGGTCTTGTGGGTGGGGGATACATAATATCTTTCTCTTCCTTTCCTGAGTCCTAAAGCAATTGATAAGGAGACAGAGATGCTTGAGCTAAAATGACAGCTTTGTTACTGAGAAGGCTTATTGGAAAACTGAATTTAATTCTGAAACAAAATGGGTTTTCTCATACTATATGCAACAAATAGATTTTTCTGTCCTGTTATTGACACAGAAAACAATAGGCCTCCCCTTGTTCAGGGACAAAATCTTTCTTGCAATGAAAGAATAAATCAGTGTGCATCACTTTCTGTGGTCAGATAGATCCAGGGGAAAGAAAATCTAGAAGGGGCTGAGTTGAGCATGTTTAGTGCCTTCTCTCAAATTCACAAGTTGGTGGGGATATATATAGAGAGAGAAGCTGGAAACGTTCCCTTCATTATTTCTCCTCTTGGGGAGTAGAGTGGAAATGACTTTCTCTCTAAGAGAACATGATGACTGGGAGGAGTGTTCTAGGTAAGTCCTGGCAGTATGAATGAACATGGCAATAAGTAATTTGGTGTTCTAAAGCGTAATATGTGGCCTTGGAAGAAGTCAATGATGATGTCCGTACATTAATATCACTATGTATTTTAAGAAGGTAGCAAGTTTTTTTGAACACTTTTTTGTAGGCTCAGGATCTGCTGGGCATTCTGAGGAAAATAAAGAAACTACAGTACTGTAAAGGAGCTCTGGTGGTGTAATGCCTAAGGCATTTAACTGCTAACTAGAAGGTTGGTGATTCAAACCCACCAGCCACTCTGCAGAAGGAAGACTGGGCAATCTACTTCCATAAAGATTTACCACCTCAGAAACTCAAAGGGGGTCGCTATGAGTCAGAATCAACTCAATAGCAGTGATTTTTTTCTTTTTTCTTTAATAGTCCTATAGTATATTCATTCACTTCCTGCTTAGAGAAGATTACCATCTAGTTGGAGATATGAGTTTCTACACATTAAAATATAGCTAAATGCAATTTCTACTGAATTTCAAGAGTGGTACAACATTGTTGGATGAGTTCAGAGGTGGAAGAGAATAAAGAGAATGAGAGATATGGATAGGAGATACAAAATTAGGAAATCCTTCATAAGGAAGGTGAAAGCTTGACTAGGCTTTGAAAAGATAGTTTAGATGGGACAGGGTTTCTGGGAGGGAAGCTCATAAACATGAATGTGGACACAGATAACATTCAGGGGCCATAAGGGACATGGAGAATGGATCACCCTGATTGGAATAAATATGTTGGGTAGTGGTATATGAGTCTGGGAAGGTGGTTTGGAGCTACATTTAGAAGGACCTTGTTAACTAGACTAAGAAAACTGGAAACTGACTTTTGGTCAGGACGGAGCTATTAAATATTTTAAGCAGCAGAGTGACATGGTAAGATTAGCTGTTTAGGAAGATTACTCTGACAACTCCAATCTGTCACTGGCACTATAGCATTAGGAAGATATATTAGAAGGGAGAGGGCAGATGAAATAGAGATCAGACAATTTAAGAGGCCACTGTTATCATGAGAAATGATAGGAACTAGATCTGGAACAGTGGAAATAGAGGACCAAAAGAAAATATGTAAGAGAATTTTTTTCTCGCTCTCTTTTTACAGCCATCAATGGTAAGCTCTATGCCAACCTCAGAGGTCTTACCATGTACCAAGGAGAACAAGTGGCCTGGTACATGCTGGCCATGGGCCAAGATATTGACCTACACACAGTCCACTTCCATGCAGAGAGCTTCCTCTATCAGGTGAGCTGAAAAGGAGACCTAATTCATCAGAAATGATTAGAGGAAAGTCTTCACAACCATTGAGGAAGAAAGGAATAGCATGGAATGGGTTGATAAGGAGTTAAAAGTAGTATAGTACATGAAAATTGAGTTGTGAATTGTAGACTGATGGTATATCTCTGGATCAGTTACTTCACATCAGGCATTAGCTTTCTCTTAAGCTAAAGGAAGAAGAGTGACCAATTTTTGTGGTAAAAAGATTGAAGTAATCTAAGTAATTGAGTCTCAGTCAAGGATTTCAGACTTAGTGGACAGTTATTTCAAGAGTAAAGGATTTCAGAGTGGCATCTCAGAATCTCTGAAAGTCCTTAATTTATTATTATAAGAGCTTCAGTTCAGGAGCTACATGGAACAAGATGTAGATTTTGAAGCAAATTTAGTCTTAGGAAAAAGAAGGAATATTTGGAGGCATTTATATAAACGTAGAAATCTAGAAGTACTGATAAACTTGATGGCAAGGAGGAAAAATTAAGTTGAAACAATTTCCTTAGGAAATACTATGTGGCTTCTTCCTACAGGTCAAAGCTTGATTCAAATTCTCTGATTAGTTTTGAGCTCCACAGATGAAAGTTGGGTGTCTTTTATTTTGGGAAGCTTTAAGAAAAATAGGAAAGGTTTGAGGGAAAGATGGCAGAATAGGCAGAAAGACTGCACAGACCCTCTTCAACAAAGAAAAGGGGAACAAATTAACACAGATACAGAAGATAATCCTGGACCCCTGAGCCTTGAAGGGAAGTATATAGAAGTGGATTATACTCCAACTAGCAGAAGAATTTGCATGAAAACACCAAAAAAGGATACATCTGGAGCTGTGATCTGGCAGTGATCCTGATGGCACAGACAGCTTGGATATTGCTGAGTGGTGGTAGGACCTAAGAATTAACCTAAAAATAGGCCCTACTAGCCAGGGACTGCATGAAGGACTGCTCTGGCTGTTGGGGAATAAAAGGGGAAGCAACGAAGAGGAAGGTGGGCTAAGCTGTGGAATTTTGCTAGTCTGGAGGGCACAGCCATTTAGAATGTTTACAAGTTGCATGACCATTTTGGATATTTAAAGTGACAATGTTCTCACCGATTCCAGGGACTTAAGAACAGGCTCCACTTGCCAGGAACCCCAAAGACATTCCGGACATAATGACTGGAAAGATGTAACATTCCCTTTGTTACTCTTATACCCCACATCCTCTTGGTGAAGATGGCCATCCCTCACTCCCACCCACTTTCTGGACCGGCAAGAATTCCATCCAGTCTGTGTGCTAGGACGGAACCTGGGTGCCCTGCCCCACCCTGCCCTGATTTTTTTTTTCTTTTTCCTGTTTTTTAGTTTGTTTTAAAACTGCTATTATTATATTACTTTAGACTTTTTTACTATTATTCTTTATTCTTCCCTTCCCATGTTCTAGTTTACAGATTTTTTTCTTTTCCCTGTTCCTGGTTGCATTTTGTTTTCCTTTCTCATGGTTAACCCCGTTTCTTGTTTTTCTTTTTGCATTTTTCCCATTTTTTTCTTCATTATTCTCCTTCTCTACCTTTTTTTCTCTTATTCCCTCTCCCAAGATATTGCAGGTTTTTTCTTTCTTCTTCTTTTTTCTTTTTTGGTTACTGTTCTTGTGATTACATAGTGTATTTTTTGTCCATTTACATTTACTGTTTTGATTGTTATTCAGTTGTTATTTTTGTCTAAATTATTGGAAGACAGCAAAATTCCCAATATGACACAACAACACCCACAACTCCTGCAGCTACACTAACTGAGTGAGAGCCACCACTTCCTTCTCCACCAATGGGCCAATAATAAACAACCACCTAGAAAACTCACCATGACTCACTCATGGCTGCTCTTCACAGTTAACAGAGACCTAAACACAACAATGACACAATGTCTCACAGACAACAGACCATCACAGCACACACAAAGAAGAAAGATAAAGTGGTAGAAACAAGGGAGCAGAATACAGATCCAGAACAAATCCCTGAGGAATAAGCAGCATTGGAATTCTCTGATAAGGAATTCAAAAGAATTTTTAGGTATCATCAAAGGATTGAGAGACAGACCAAGGAGAACACAGACAAAACCTTAGATGAATTTTGGAAGAAAATACAAGAACAAAATGACAAAATAAATGAAAAATTAGAAATGATTCTAAATCCACAGATAGAAATCCGTAAGATTAATTCTAAATTGTCAGAATTAGATAACACATTGAAAGGGCAGAGGAGTAAAATTGATGCAATGGAAGATAGAATTAATGAAACTGAAGACAAATACCTGAATACTTCTTTGGAAAGGGATCAAGCAGAAAAAAGATCAAAACAAAATGAACAAAGCCTAAGGTTCATGTAGGATACCATCAGAAGGAATAACCTACATGTCATTGGAATTCCAGAACAGGAAGAGAAAAATAAAACCACTGAGAAAATTGTCCAAGATTTGTTGGAAGAGAACTTCCCTGACATGATGAAAGATGAGAATATATCAATTCAGGAATTCCAATGAAAACCAAACAGGATAGATGCCAAAAGAAAATCACCCAGACATATCACCATCAAACTGATCAAAATGAAAGACAAAGAATGGATCATGAAAGGAGCATGAGAAAACTAAAAGTTACTTACAAAGGACAGCCAGTAAGAATAAGCTCTGATTTCTCAGCAGAAACCATGCAAGAGAGAAGGCAATGGGATGGTATATATAAAACCCTGAAAGAGAAATTTTTTCAACCAAGAATTA